TAAAGAGTAATAATTTTAGAAGGCCTGTATAGCTTTCACCTCATTTAAGAAATGGAATGTCCCATCATCTTTTGTTATGGTTTGGCTACAAGATGTCCCCTGAAAAGCTCATGTGGTTAATGCTGGAATGTTCAGAGGTGAAGTGATTATATTATGAGAGTTGTAACCTCATCAGTGGCTTAATCCATTTGATGGATTAATAAGTTGAATGGACTACTGGGTGGTCACTGTAGGTGGGTTGGTAGTATCTGGAGGAAGTAGGATGCTGGAGGCATACCCTTGGGGAAAATAGGTCCTCACTAGTGTCTCTGTTTCCTGGATGCCGTGAGCTGAATGTTTTTCCCCCACCAGCCCTTCTGCCATGATGTTCTGCCTCATCTTGGGTCCAGAACAATAGAGTCTGCTGACCATGGACTAAATGTCTGAAACCAAGAACCCAAAATAATGCTTTCCTTCTCTAAGTTGCTCTTGTCAAGTACTTTGGTATGCCTATGAATTCCCCAGTGTGTAATGTTAACCCCTCCCTACTCTTCTAATCTCAGAGGTACCCGCCTCCCTCAATTCTGTTTATCATCCCCTTTCTTTACAATTTTCCCACAGGCTTTATCCCTTAATGTTATATCCTACAAATATGCATGCTTGCTAACTTCATAAGTGAAATCATTCGACAGGTTGAATGTCTCTCATCCAAAATGTTTGGGACCAGATGTGTTTTGGATTTTGGAATATTTGCATATACATAATGAGATACCTTGGGGATTCAAGTCTAAATAAAAAATTAATTTATGTTTCACATATACCTTATACACATGGACTTAAAGTTTTTATGTTATATTTTAAACAATTTTGTGCATGAGACAAAGTTCAATGGTATGGACTTTTTCACTTGTAGTGTCAAAAGTTTTAGATTTTGGATTTTAGAATTTTTGATTAGGAATGCTTAACCTTTAATGTATTCTTCAGCAACTTTGCTTTTCCACTCATGATTATGACTTGATTTCCCTACAAATAAGGGATGACTCTAAGACACATCATGGTCTATGAATTATTATTTAATGAAATACTTTTGAACATTTAAAATCTTATAGTTTTTCCTACCCCTTTTTATTTCTTTTTCACCGGAAAAAAGAAGATGAACTGTCTTGTTATATAAAGCAACTCCCGAAATGCTCATCCTATGGCTTTCTAACACCGTTAAACCAAAGCTCAATGAACACTATGCTGCATTTACAATAAAATATATTTATGATGAACAGTTAAAGAAATGTATTGGAATTCAGGTATTCAGAAAGGTTTTCCTGAAGTGTTGAGAAAGATGTTTTTTGGTAAAGTCTAATCACAGGAAATTAAATCTACTTTAATATCATAATCCATTCTGTGCTTTCTCTCTATCAAATTTTTGCTGTTTTGAATTTGGACTTTCATGCTCCAACTTGTGTAGTCATTGTTATGGTTTGAATCTGGAATGTCCCCAAAGGCTCATGAGTTGGAAGCACAATTCCTAATACAATAAGGTGTTTGCTGGATTGCACCATCAATAGCTGAATGGACCATAGGAAGGTGGGACCTAGTTGGAAGAAATAGGTCACTGGGGGTGTGCCCCATAAGGACTTATCTAACCCTGGGCCATTCCTCTCTTCTCTATTTTCCCCACTGTCATGAGCTGAACAGCTTTCTTCCACTATGCCCTTCCGCCATGATGTTTCTGCCTTGGAGTCAGCTGACCATGGACTGAATCTTCTGAAACTGTGAGCCAAAATAAACTTTTCCTCTCCTAAGTTGTTCTTGTCAGGTATTTTGATCATAGCAAATGAGAACCCGACTAATGCAGTCATTGATTAGGTAACATGTCCCACTTACCCATTTTCCACTTTCATGGCATTCTTGAGGGTTATTTTAGGTTTTTCTGTTTCAGGCCAAAAGAGTTTAGCAACAGCCAATGATGCAGGTGCTGACATAACTGAAGCTGTTAATAAGTGGGTGGATGAAACCTGCAATTTCAGAAGAAAGCAAGCAAACAAGCTGAGCTTTACTCTTATATTCAGAAAAATGATTCAAAAGCCTTATAGGGAAGAGATGGAACAGGAGTCAATTCTATGCCAGAAACCAATGCTTCTTTGGAGGTTTGGAAGATCAACTTTTGTCAATGAGCCAAGCCATGGCATCACCCTGAGAGTCAGAGGGACAGAGAAGAGATTCAAGTTAATTAGCCACATTCTTGGAGGAAAAGCCCAAATCTGATCATTTCAGAAGATAAGTAATCATGAATTTTAAGAACTCTCAAAGAAGACTCCTCAGCCTCTATGTTGTCTTTTTAAATGCCCATATAGTCCCTATAGCCTATATTTCATTTCATCATCAATTTAGATGGGTTATCTGGGGTGGACTGGCATGGAGACAGGATTCCTAATCTATGTAAAGGAATGATATTCCCCCTGTCCACCTTCCTTTTGCTCTCCTGGAATCCTTTGTGTCTTTACACAATATGCTTTTATCCAGAGTCCCTTTGATTCTGGAAATTATTTCTGTTTTCCTCATGACAAGTTTACTCTTTCTCCTTCCCACTCCACATACTTGACATTGTTTCTGGATTCTCTTCCCTACTTTTTCAGAATCCCATATCCAGTGTCTCCCTCTGCATTCCTATAACACCTATCCCATTATTTTCAAGTTTAAGATGGAGTTTCATTTTTAATAGTTTTCTGTGCATTAAATTTTTACATATAAGTGGGATTCATTGTGATATGTTGGCACATGCACATAACATGATGATCAGTCTCATTCTCCAAGACCTCTCCTTTCCATCCATTTCTTCCTCCCCCTGATCCTCTTCCTCCCCCATCCCCTCCATCTTCTCTACAGATCTTCCTTCTATTGTTATTATTTTTAAATTAGTGCACTATAATCATACATCAAGTGGGTTTCATTGTGGTATATTGGTAGATGGACATGACATAATTTGACATCATTCTCTAGTGACCTTCCCTTGCCCTTTCCTTCCCTCGCCCTCTATTCCATTGGTCTCTCTTCATTTTCATGAGAGCCTTATTTATTGATTTATTTTTCTCTGTATCTTCTACATATGAAAGAAAACATTCAATCCTTGACTTTCTGAGTCTGACTTATTTCACTTATCATGATATTCTCCAGTTTCATACATTTACCAGCAAATTACACAATTTCATTTTTCTTTATGGCTGAGTAGAACTCCATTGTGAGTGATATATATATATCATCTGTTGATGGGTACCCAGGATGGTTCTATAACTTGGCTATTGTGAATTGTACTGCCATAAACATTGTATGCATATATCAGTATAATATGCTGATTTCAGTTCTTTAAGATAAATACCAAGGAATGGGAGAGCTGACTTAGCCCATTTTTTTTATGTTCTTTTTTTTTAATTATTATTGGTCTTTCAAAACATTACATAGTTCTTAATACATCATATTACACGGTTTGATTCAAGTGGGTTATGAACTCCCACTTTTACCCTGTATACAGATTGCTGAATCACATCAGTTACCCTTCCATTGATTGACATATTGCCTTTCTAGTGTCTGA